TACATGTCCTCACAGGCATGTGTGTGTATGTGGATTTTCAAATTTATTCTGTAGTTAAGCTGTGGTACATACACACTGGCCTAGCTAACAAACCGGTACAATGGTATGCATGTACATTTACACTGGTAAAACACAAAGACATGCATTATGAATGAGCATATGCAAAAATACTTCCATGTACATATCCAGTCTCAATAAGATGACATACTTCCATCTCTGCATCACTGCCCAAATCTAGCCTGCCTCAGGACTTCTACTACTGCCCCCCCTTACCAACAAGGCCCAGGAGAGGGGCAGTGTGAATCATCAGGGCCCATGTCTTCAGAGGGGCACAGGCTTGCGTAGCAACACCTTTCGCAGCAACCAACTGGAGCACTGTCAGCCCCTTACGGGAGACAGGCAGAATCTGCAAGGAGCTTCTCCTTCAATTAAAAATTCTGTTTCAAACGGATATCTCAAATCCGGGAGTGACCAAACCTATGATTGAGGAGCAACTGGGAAGGCTGTGGTGAGCAAGTCGCCAGGATTAGTGTCAGCCTGAGCCACTCCTGGGGGATTATCGCTGGGATCTGGGGCCAGTCCTTAGGGACTGCCATCAGGAACTGGGCCCAATCGTTGGCCTGGAATCAGGAACCAGGCCCAGTCCTCAGACATTGCTGTCAGAAATGGCTGATTCTTGGGGATTGCCACTGGCACTTCGGCATTTTCTTTAGGATTTGCTGCCTGGAGTCTGGCCCTGGTCCCAGGGGTTGCCACCATGAGGTGGGCCTTAGGGGTTTTCTGCCAGATTTGGAGATTAGGAGCTGCCCAGAGTCAGGAATTGCTGTTATTTGTGTCTTTGGAATGTTGTCTGCTGCTGGAAGTGGGATGGAAGAGGGTGAAAAAGAGGAAACTGCAAAAGATGGGTAGGAGGAGGCTGCCCTTAAGGAGGAGACTGCCAAGAGGAAGGAAAGGAGGAGGCTGGAAGTAGACTTGAAAGGAGGAGGTGATAGGGGTTGGAATGAGGTGACAAGGTGCCGAGGAAAAGATGGAAGCTTTAAGGTGGTTGAGAATGAAATTGCAAAGAAGTCGGAACAGTTTAACCCTGTCATCAAAAGAATACTCAACTAACTGGAAGGCAGATAATCTTGAAATTACTGTGGTAACAAATTTCTTGCAAATTGAATGTGGAATCTCTAGCTTAAGGCTCCATGTGTTCAGTAGCTACAAATGGGGAAAATGAATGGATACTATTATAATGAACAATGTAAACTGAGATTGAGATTTGAGATGCAGTTAAAAAGGATAGTAACAGCCCTGGTTAAAGTTTTCTAGCTTTGTGCACTTGTGACAGAGACAGATTAGCTGTGATATCATTAGTCTGCGAAGGTGTGTTTAGGATAACACGGTGTGGAACTGGAGGAACACAGCAGGCCAGGCAGCATCAGAGCAGCAGGGAAGTTGGCGTTTCAGATCAGGACCCTTCTTCAGAAATGGGGAGGGGGAAGGGAGCTGGAAAATAAATAGAGGAGAGGTGGCGCCACCTATCTTCCCCAGCCCCACCCCTCTTCTCTCTATTTATTTCTGAGCTGCCCTCCCCCTCCCCATTTCTGAAGAAGGGTCCCGACCTGAAACGCCAACTTTCCTGCTCCTCTGATGCTGCCTGGCCTGCTGTGTTCCTCCAGTTCCACACCGTGTTATCTCTGACTCCAGCATCTGCAATTCTTACTATCACTGAGTTTGTTTAGGATAACGGCTTTTTCTACGTAGAAGTATCTGTCAATTATTTTGTAAAAAACTTATCCCTAACTTTTGTCTGTTGTATTTTTCTGGTTTAAATACTGTGGCGTCTAGTAAATTGATATTGTCTTTGTGTGCTGTGGCTTTAAGTTTAATGGAGGGTTGATAATTGAGGATATTGATGAATTCTTCTAATTCTACTTTAATGTACATCAAAGTACCATATGTGAACACAAATGCAAAATGTATTATTATATGACAGCATCACCTAATAATTGAGTTTTTGGGAATTAAAAAGTAGCATCTGAAAATAAAAAAGTAGCCCTTGAGTAAATCTTAAAAAAACTCAAAAAATATATCCTTTGACATAGGGCCAGATTCAAAGAAACGGAGGTGTATGAACAACCAAAGTGCATGTGACTAATAAAGTTGTGATTGTGAAGTGTATCATGTTGAAAGTTGTGCTTTTATATAAATGGAGGCATATAACAGAGCACAAAAGCAAAGAATAGTTGCTGTACCTATTTAAAACAGCTCAACGCTACTGCAACTATGGTTCCCAATTCTGGGCACCATAACAATATAAAAGTTTTATAGAGACAAAGAAGAAATGTAACATGATGGTTACATGGATTAGGAATTATGATGAGCTGGATTATTCTCCTTGAGGTGATTTGATGGAAATATATAAAATTATGCAGGATTTAGATAGAATAAACAGAAACCATTTCAAATGACTGAAGGATTGATAATCCGACGGCCTCCATTTGACATTGTAAGT